GTGTGTGTGTGTGTGTGTGTGTGTGTGTGTGTGTGTGTGTGTGTGTAGGGGTTCCTGCAGGTACTACTGGGGGTGTGCTCACTGAAGATGTGGATGGCAGCACCTCCCAGTCTTTTAGGAAGGTTGGTCACGGAAGGCTCTCGTAAGAGGCTACTGCCTCATTCCTCTGATGCAGAGTCCAAGAGCGCATGCCCCTTCAGCACCTTCGAGTTTCATTTCAGTGCTAGAGACTGGATTCTCCCTCTTGAGGTTGCGCTGCCTGCAGGGCAGGTGTGACCAGAGGGTTGGAGGGCCCAGAGAGGACAAGGGAGGCCCCTCCCTGAGGTTTCTGCAAGTCTGAAAGGGCTGCTGAGACCCTCAGACAGGTGCTTTTAGACTATGAAAGACAGCGATCCACTGAGGACCTGTCTGTGCTCATCTTGGGTAGAGAAAGGGAAAAACGTCTGTCTTGTTCCAGGGACCGGTTTCTGTCTGTGGAAGCTGACCCCTGTCCGAGCACTTACTGTCACTCTCGATCTGTCTCCCTCCATGCCCAACCTTCTGTAAAAGCAAAGAGCCTGCTGCCGTGCATCACTCCTCTTAAGCACTCCCAGCAGGTTTCCTTCCCTTCCTTTCTTCATTCCCCCCATCTTTCCCTCTCTCTCTCTCTCTCTCCCTCCCTCCTCTTCTCTCCCCTCCCCTCCCCTCCCCTCCCCTTTTTTTGTGATAAAGTCTTCCCATGCAGCCCAGGCTGGCTTCAAACTCCTGATTGCCCTGCTTTAGCTTCTGATCATGGGTGCTAGGATCATGGATGTCCACTATTAGGCTTGGCTTCTTGGCAATTCTTCAAACTATGCACTTAGAGGCTGGTGGATCTGAGTTTGAGTGGGTCTGAGTGATACCTAGGCCAGCCAAGGCTACACAGTGAAGCCCTGTCTCAAAAGCAAACCAAGGGGCTGGAGAGATGGCTCAGCAGCTAAGAGCATTGGCTGCTCTTCCAGAGGTCCTGGGTTCATTCCCAGCACCCACATGGTGGCTCAGAATCACCTGTTGTGGGACCTGATGCCCCTTCTGTCATGCAGGTAAACATGCAGAACACTCAAATATAAAATATAACTAAATTTTAAAAAATCCAAAACCAACAGAGTAAACATACAACCGTCTGTTGACAACAAAGGCTCTCAGGCAGCATGTCCCCACTGTCCCTCAGCTCGGACACACTCATGGGCCACAGGTACTCCCATCATGTTTCAGGGCCCAGAGAAGTCTCTTTCACTTTTCTTGGGATATAGGAGTCCTCTAAAACACCGTGTATCAGCCAAGCAGAGGCGGCACACACTTCTAATCCCAGCAGTTGGGAGGCAGAAGCAGGAGGATCTCTTGGGTTCGAGGCCAGCCTGGTTGAGTAGCAGGATAGCCCAGGCTACATAGGGAAACCCTGCCTCAAAAAAAGATTCTGTCTATTAGCCTGTGGGGCTGATTCTAGGCACCTGATGTCTAAGTGGGGTACCAGGACTCACAACATCCAACAGCCTACCTGGTGGTATGTCCACTGCTTGGGTCCTGGATCACGTCCTTTGGCCAACTCGGGGCTGCTGTGGGAATCAACCGAGGTTCTTCTTGATGTCCAGCTAGTAACCAATCTTTTGGCGTGGGATCCATAACTGCTGGGGAGAAGACAGGAACTCAGTACACACCTGCCCTGGAGCCCTCTAGAAGACAGAGTCCAGTACACACCTGCCCTGGAGCCCCCTAGGAGAAGACAGAGCCCAGTGCACACTTGCCCTGGAACCCCCTAGGAGAAGACAGGGCCCAGTACACACCTGCCCTGGAACCCTCTAGGAGAGGAAAGGATCCAGTACACACCTGCCCTGGAGCCCCCTGGGAGAGGACAGGGCCCAATACACACCTGCCCTGGAGCCCCCTAGAATGTTCTTTCCTGGGCTGGGCTATACAACCATAGAAGACTCACCCCCAAGCCTACACGTGCTGGCTCCCAGGCCCTGATCTTCACAGACCTGTGCTTATTAGCCCTGTAGTTTGGGATCTTGTGGGCAAGGGGCACAGTATGAGAGATGCTGCCCCTTCCTGTGCAGTCCCCAGTCTTCTCTCTGCCTCTGGGGAAGCCAGTCAATCAATAGTCATGGGACTCTGTCCCTGGGTCTGTGCACATCTCCACACAAAGCTGGGAGGCACAGTTTTTGTTTTGTTTTTTGAGACAGGGTTTTCTCTGTGTAACAGCCCTAGCTGTCCTGGAAGTAGATCTTGTAGACCAGGCTGCCTCGAACTCACAGAGATCCGCCTGCCTCTGCTTCCCGAGTACTGGGATCAAAGGCTTGCGCCATCACTGCCCAGTGGCATGTTTGTCTATTCCAAACAAACATAACTAGGTCTCCTGTCCTTGGAATTGCTAAGTCTGGCAGCTTTGTATTTAAGATAGAAATAGAGCTGGCACTCAGTTGTCTGAGGAGACACCACGAGTGTGGACCCTCGGCGTGCTCACAGGAGGGTAAGCAAGTGGTCACTGGCACGGTCAGGCTGCCAGGACCCCTGGACATTATGCTGAGCTTCTGTGGGGGCCTGGAGACAGGCCCATGTTGTCTCCGTTCCAGTCCTATGCCCATCTTCTGCCCAGTCACTGGTAGGGTGGTACTATGACAGGGTCTGGGCTCTTGCTGCTCCCTTGACCCAAACTTCTTTCTCGTCTCCACCTCTGTCCACACCCGAGGTGTGACTATTCAATCTTTCCTTTCCTCTCTCTCTCTCCTTTTGAGACAGGGTTTCTCTGTGTAACAGCCCTAGCTATAGATCTTGTAGACCAGGCTGGCCTCGAACTCACAGGTCCACCTGTCTTTGCCTCCTAGTGCTGGATTAAAGGTGTGCGCCACCACGACTTAGTCAGTCTTTTTCATTTTCTCTTCTTAGTTCTACACTAAGTATAAAGGAACCTGTCCTGCATTTCCTTTCAAATCGAGACCAAGAAGTTTTTATTGACCCAAACAAGAAATTCATTTCCGATATGGAACCTAAAGAGTAGTTTTGTTGCCAGTCTATCCGGGCCTAGAATTTTCGGCTTCTGACTCCCTTCTCTGAGGGGCCAGGGTAGGGCTTGTCTGCAGTCTCTGAGGGGCCAGTGTGCTAGAACTAGGACCAGGGGACAAAGGCACAGCCTATTGCATATGATCTGAGTGGACGCTCGCCCAGGCACTGGCTCTACACGGGAAAACCTCCACTCACAGCTTTCCAAGGTTACCACCAGGGCAGGAAAGACCTCTAGGTCCTGGACTTCCTGAGGTCAGGGTCCGGGGCCAGCACAATGACAGCAGGAGAGAGGAACAATGGTGAGCTCCCTGGAGCCGCTGCCGAGACTTTTGTTCCATCCTTCCTGTGATGGTTAATCTTTGTTGTTCGTCATTTATTCTTTCATGGGTGCATGTGTGCGCCTGAGTGTATGCGTGTGTACCATGTGAACGCAGGAGCCTTCAGAAGCCAGAAAGAGGCATCCAGCCCCCTGGAACTGGAGTTTACAGGGGGTTGTGAGCCATCATGTGGATGCTGGGAATCCAAGCCATCTAAGCCCGTCCAGTTTTGTTTTTGTTTTTTTGAGACCGGTTCTCCCAGGCCTGAAACTCACTATGTAGACCAGGCTAACCTTGACCTGCCTGTCTAGGGCTGATATTAAAGATATGTATCACCACACTAAGCTGATGGTTAGTTTCTTTCTTTTTTCTTTTTCTTTTTTAGTTTCATAAGATTTGTTTATTCTTACTTTATGTGTATGAATGTTTGCCTACATTTATGCAAGTTTACCACATGTGCACCTGGCCCCCAAGGCCAGAAGAAGGTGTTGGATCCCTTAGAACTGGAGCTACAGACAACTGTGAGCCAAACCTAGGTCCTCTGCAAGAGAAGCAAGTGCTCTTAACCACTGAGTGATCTTTCCAGCCCCTCTTCTTATATTTTAGTTGCCAAAAGCCTTTTATTGAATGGATAGTTACAGAGGTTATAAAATTTAAAATGCTTTTCCCACTTTTGACAACTGACGCCTCTCAGAATATAGTTCTATTGACACATAGCTTTGTGTTTTCGTAATCCCATAAAGCCATGATGCCTGATATTTTGGTTCACATTCAAGGGCCTGCTCACAAGTGGAAGGTCCCATGTGAAGTCACCCATGGATAACTGCATGTCTGCTCATGAAGTTCTCAGGCTCAACTCCCACAGGCTGCAAAGTAGAGTGTATGGGCTTGTGATTCAACCTATTCCTGTCTCAGTGCACAAAGTGGATGCTGTTACCTGGACTTAAAATGAAGGTTCTGCCTTGCTGAGCGGGTTTCCTTGGAAATCAAAATGTGGGCCAGCTACTGCCCGCCACAGGCTCTGACGGCTTCCCAAAAAAAGCATGTTGGACTTTATGTGGGGGCTCTGTCCTGAGGAGGAAATTTCTTCACCTCTTTTCATTCAACACAGAGACAAAGTTTCACTGTGTAGCCCTGGCTGTCCTGGAACTGGCTCCACAGACCAGGCAGGCCTCGAACTCAAGAGATGTGCCTGCCTCTGCCTCCCGAGTGCTGGCTCACCACTGCCTAGCTCTGATGGTGAGTTTTATTACCAACTTGGCAGAGTCTAGAATCCCGTGGGAAACGAGTCCCAATGCCGGCGTGTCTAGATCAGGTTGGCGTGTGGGTGGAACCATTCCCTGGACAGGCTATCCTGGTTGGTATAAGGATGCAGAAAAGAGGTGAACACTGGCATGCATGCATACTGACGGCCCTCTGCTCTTGCACGTGGGTGTGATGTGACTGGTTGCTTCCAGTTCCTGCTGCCTTGATTTCCCCACAACGATGGTTTGTAATCAGAAACTGTGAGCCAAATAGGCCCTTTTCCCCTTCAGTTGCTTTTGCCCAGGTATTTTATCGTGGCAGCCAAGGCTGCCCACTTCTCTTGTCCTTCTCCCAGCACAGGCCACACTGTAGATTCTGGGGCCCCACCTAAGAAAAATGGGCCCATGGACAGAGCCACCAGCACACACAAGCAGCTACCGGGACAGACACACTGGACAGGGGTGCCTCGTCCGTAGTGAGTCTATTTCAGACAGTGCTGGGCACCTGAACTCTGCATCTGCTCATTCTGTGTGATTTTTTTTTTTTTAAAAAGGTGAGCTCTCAGGACGCAGCCACAACTGGACCTGAAACCCACTTGCTATGTAGGTCAGTCTAGCCTTGAACTTGCTGCAACCCTCTTCCTCTGCTTCTGAGTACTGGGAATACAGGACCTAACTGGTGTTAGGTCGAAACTCATGTTATGTGTTGGTGACTGGGGAAGAACTTTCCTCAGGCCGACTAGTATCCAGTGGGAAGAAATAAAACAGTAGACAAGATGGGGGCAGGGAGAGCTCAAACTATCATTCCCTCAGGCCAGCGCTGATGAGTGCTAGATTCTCCTTAGACCCCCATAAGAAGGGGCAGCAGTCAGTGGATTAATTGACGTTAGTGTACTCAGGGGCTGGGTGGCTGTGGATGGGCCAGGATTAAAGAATGGTAGAGGAGAGGTGAGGTCTACACCAGGCATAGAACAAATGCAAACCAAATGCCTCAGCATCGGAGGCCTGGCTAGCAGATGGTGATGGAGACGGACACGGAAGTGGGAGGCAGCGGAGAGAGCCTGGGACCCAGACTGGCCAAGTAATCAGGTGGGTTAAGGAGCTGACACTTGGAAGACCATCCCAGCACTTGGAGCAGGCTAGCAGGGTGTGCTCATCCGGGAGAAATGGCTGCCCCAGGGTCTGGTGTGCAGCTGCTGCTATACTAGGCGGAGGCCCTGGGAACTTCTAACTACCAAAGCAGAGTGCCCCATGGAATTCATGGAAGAAACTGGAATCTGTTAGGGCTGAAACGAATTCACATTCGCTCGCTTTCTTTCTCCATCTGTCTCTCTCCTGCTGCCTCACCTTCCTGGACAGGATCTGTGTAGACCAGGTTGTCTTGGAACTTACTGTCCTCCTGCCTTCGCCTGTGGAGTGTCCTGGGATGACACACGAGCACCACTACACCCTTAGTCAATATCAATATTGATTGTGGCAGCTGCCACCGGTGCCACCTCGCCATTTCTACGCACAAGCTCAAGCACCCTGAACCCTAACAGCACAATGACTCTATCTGAAAGACAGGAAGGGGTGCTGGGGATGTGGCTCAGTGGTAAGGTACTTTCCTGGCATGTATGAGGATCTCAGAACAAAGTACATCCCAAGAGACCTCATCCTCCGCATCAGCAGGACCAGTAGACGCCCTGGATGGCCCAGCCCATCCCTCACAGTGACATCATACTTAGTGAGACTTACAACGAAGTTCAAATGCAAGCCAAATAAACCAAATAACCACTGGCCAGTGACTTGGCAAAAACCTCTGAAGCTGCCCATAACCATCACCGCAAGCCATAGGGACCTCCCTTGGGCTCAGTCACTAGCTGGTTCCTCAGTGTCTGGGCACAGGAACCTTTGACAGATCAGGTCCTCCTGAGATCTCATTTGCTATTCTGTGGCTTTTCCTACTGGAATGGAGGTTAGAGTCTCATCTGGCAATCACAATCCTTGCAATTTCCTTCTGAAAATTAAAAAAAGAAATACTCTGTATACTTCTGATCCAAATGCTCTTTTCTCCCCTCTGGCATCTAAAGTATACTTTCAAGCCTCACCAGTTTCTGTTTAACTCCACTGACTGGGTCCTTTAAACTACATCCTGGCCCCAGGGCTGTTTGTGTGTCTAGCTGCACATTCTGATGCCATGGAGCCTGCAGACACATGACTGTACCCTCAGCATGAGCCTCGGGAGTGCTGGAACCTGGTCATACTGTATTGGGATGGTTTAGATAAGGTTTGGGAATGTCCCCTGAGGTTCATTTGGCAGTGCAGAGGTGGTGACACCTGTAGATGTCAGGTCTAGGGCATGGGGATTAGGTCATGAAGGTCTCGCCTCCTAGGGGAGGGTGCTGATGCAATTATGCTGGGAATCTCATTGGTTCCCTCAAAAATGAATTGCCATGAAAACAAAAGAGTCAGCCTGGCGCCTCTTGGATGCTGGCTTGTTTTCTGGAAGACCCATACGCTCTGGGTCTTTTGTATGCACGCCCATCATAGTGCCATTGACCATGCTGTGACAACCAAGGAGGCCCTCGTGAGAGGCTGAAACAATGGGGACACTGGGTCTTAAATCTCCAGTTTCCTAAACTGTGAACTAAGTTAACTTAGCTTAAAGTACCCAGCCCCAGGGGCTGCAGAAAGAGTTCAGTTGGTAAAGTATTTGTTCTGAAAACATGAAGACTGAGTTCGGTGCCCAGCACCCACAGACACACCAGGGCATGGTAGTGTGCACGTGATCCCAGTACCCGGGAGGTAGAAACAACGACCTTTGGGGCTGGAATCAGTGGGCTCCAGAATCAGGGAGAGACCTTGCCTCAAAAAAACAAGGTGGGGAGAGACAGAGAAAGACACCCAATGTTAACCCCTGGCACACACAAAATGAAACACCCAGTCATAGGCATTTTGTTATAGCCATGGAAAGTGGACTAAGACAGAGAGCAAACTGAGCTGGCTACACCGAAGTCTCCTATTAAACCAATTTCCAGGAGCTGCTAGATCTGAGCAGTAGACACACTGCTTCAGCGGGATCTGGGAGACAAGCCCGGCACCCCTCTGTCAGTGTGGACTTCCGTGATCCAGAATGCGGCTGAGGCCAGGCGGCTTCCTAGGAGCGGACATGCACCAGCTGTTACTTCACTTGGATTCTTGAACCTGGGAGCTCAGGCATGGTTCTGCAGCCACAGTGTTCTTACATGAAGAGGATGTGCCACGCCCAGCAGCACCAGGTTTGCCCTTTTTGTGGCTGTCTGACTGAGTAGCTGGTAGGGCCTGCAGGCAGCTATGTCTGGCTTGTTGGGCATTCTGGGGAGAAACGAGATGGTCGCCCAGCCTGCAGAAAAACATGAAACAAAACAAAACACTAAGTACAGATAGCAGGGAGGCAGCTGAGGCGGAGTCTCTCGCTGATCCTAGAGCCCACTGATCCAGCGAGACCGGCTGGCTTGGTGGCATCACAGAGAGATGCCGGAGGTGGCTGTGCCTGGGATTCTTTTGGGAAACGGAAATTTTAAAACATTTTGTTAGTTTTGCCTTCTGAAGTTAAACAGTGTTACACTTATTTAGCGTGTGCCTGTCCTGTGTGCCCACCCCAAGGCACATGCACGGAGGTCAGAAGGTTGCTTGGAGCAGTTGATTCTCATGGCTTCATCTGAGAAGCTCCTGACCGAACTCAGATCATCAGGCTTGGTGGTGGGCAAGCACCTTTACTCGCCACCGGACCAGCTTACCTGCCAGCTTTGTCTTTTAAAGATAGGCTCTCAAGTAGCCTAGGCTGGCCTTGAACTCATCACGTAGCTGAGAACTGCCTTGAACTTCTGACCTTCCTACCTCCCTCCCCTAAGTGCTGGGGTGAGAAGCAGAGCCACCACCTGGATAAACCACCTTGTTTGTGTGTTTTATTTTGTTTTTGAAACAAGGCTTCTCTGTGTAGCTCTGGCTGTTCTGAAATGCACTCTGTAGACCAGGCTGGCCTCAAACTCACTGAGATCCTCCTGCCTCTGCCTTCTGAGTGCTGGGATTAAGATCTGTGCCACCACTGCCTGGCTCTGCAGTACCTTTTTAAAGTGTAGTGACAGAGGCCAGCAGGACCTGTGAGGTGGCAGCTGTACTTCATGCCGGCTAATCCTCTTGTGACTTCACGGCACTCCAAGGGTAGCACGCGTGGAACACACCAGTCCGTCTCAAGAGCTGTGGGTTGCTCAAGGCCCCTTGCATTTCCACCAAACAAGGCACAGAGCACTTCTCCAAGGATAAGGTTAACTGTGACATCCTGTCACGTCAGCCCTGAACAGAGGCAGGCAAGCTCACAGCTGAGACAAGCAATGCCTGTTGCTGTACTGGCCCCATGTTAAAGAGATGGATGGCAATTTCTGGTCTAGCCTTGACATGCCATACTCAGGTGTGACAAGAGAAAGATCGGGGAGAGCCGGCCCTGAGAGACAGGCAAGCACTCTGGGGGCTCTGTGCGTCATCCTGGACAGACAGGTCTCTAGCTGTGTGTGTGACAGAGCACTCACTGCAGCAAGCAGACACTGGTCATGGACTCAGCAGGGCCTTAGTGAGTCACAGATCGATGACAACTACGCCTGCCTAGGGTCACATACGGGGAAAATGACTGTCAATCAGTATCAGCTCCTACGGTTCAACAGAGACCAGGAGACAGAGAGCCGTGCTGGAGAGACTTCTCAACATGGTGCTGAACCTGCAGTGAGTTGGAGGTGGGCCATTCAGCATCTAGTTCTGAGCTGGAGTTTTCTTGGGGGCCAGGGAGGGAAGAAAGGGGGCAAGTTAAAGAGGACCAAGAAAGATGTTTAGATTTGAATCCTGAGAGAGACGAGGAGCCAAATAAAGCACAATCCTTCTGTGTTAGGAGGATTCCTCTATAGTGAACTTTTACTTATGTTTTAATAAATAAAGCTTGCCTGAAGATCAGAGGGTAAAACTAAGCCTCTTAGAGGCCAGGCAGTGGTGTCACACACCTTCAATCCCAGGATCTGGGGGACAGAGGCAGATGGGTCTCTGTGAGTTCAAGGCCACCCTGGGCTACACAAGATCAGTGTAGAAAAAGATCCTGGTGGTGGTGGCTCACACACACCAGCACTAAAGGGAATATAAGGCAGGAGGAGACAGGGACTCAGGGCTCAGTCTGCAGCCGCCCAGCCTTGGTAAAGGTAAGACTTCTCTAGTGGCTTGGCTGTTTTGCTTTTCTGATCTTCAGCCTGAACCCCAATATCTGTCTCTGGGTTTTTATTCTTTGTGTTACATCCCTCTGTGGTCCTGGTGGGTATGGGATAGCGGGAGAGAAGGGTGGAAGGTCAGGAGGGAAAGGTGGCTCTGGTGAAGGCCCAGAGGCCAGAGTGCAGAGGCAAGAGTGAAGGGTGGGTTCTGGCTGGGCTGTTGCAAAGGTCCATGTCAGTCCCTGAGGTACCGGCTGAGGCTGCCATGCTGACCCTGCAGACATTGGCTGGGGTGCTCTGAGACACATCTATCTGTAAGTCCAAGTTGGGTTGGGGTGCTATCAGTGAGTAGGATGGGGTGAAGACCCCAGCCTGGGGCTCTAGACCCTGTCCAGAACCCAGCACACAGGAGGAAGTTGGGTTATGGCAGAAGGCCAGCCCACTGTGTCAGGGACAAGGGTGGAACAGTCACTGGGAGGGAGCTGGGTTAGAAACTGTGAGAGTGCAGAGGGCCCTGAGGGTGCTAAGAGCTGGGAACTGTAAAGTCACTTGTGATCTTTGATATCACTGAGCATCCAGGAGGAAGTTCAGACTGGTGCAAGAAGTCAGAGAGCACCTAAGTGTACAGGAGGTTAAAGGAAGGAGATGCTGGGGAGGGATAGAAAGGGGCATTAAGTGTCGAGATGGAGCAGAGGGCCTCCAGAATCCAGAAAGGTTAGTTAGGCCGAAGTGGAGAGGAGCCATCTCTGCGAGGCACAGCCAAGACAAGGCTGAGAGAGGGTGGAGTCGTGTGCCTATGTTTACCTCAGCCTTTCCGTTCTTGATAAAACTCGATAGTGCTTATCAAGAAAAAAATTAGGTAATACAAAGGATGTGTAGAACAGCCCCAATCACAATATCCGCAGTGACCACTTCACAGTTAAATCGGTGTTTTAAAAACTGGCTGCGAATGCCGCTCAGTTGGTACGCAGCCTGCCTGGCAGACAGGAGGCCCTGGGATCAATCTCCAGCATTGCCTTAACCAGGCATGCTGGCACAGGCCTCTGACCTGGCACTTGGGAGGGGGAGGCAAGAGAACAGACCCATGAAGGACATCCTCACATAAATACAAGTTCCAGGCCAGCCTGGGCTACCTGAGACCTTGTCTCATTGTGGTGTATGTCTTTAAGACCAGTCCTAGCGAGGCAGAGACAGGTGGATCTCTGCGAATTCAAGGCCAGCATAGTCTACACAGTAAGTTCCAAGCCAGCCAGGGCCGTATAGTGAGAACCTGAATAAAAAACAGGGCAGGCACCACCACACTTGTTTTGTTTTGCTTTCTATTTCTTAAGGAGAGAAAAAACAAAAGGCAAATATATACTTCAAAGAACCTGGACCAACGGGCCAGTTTGGCTCTTTACAGCTGGCCCGTCACCCCACTCTACAGTTTGCTTTTGCATTTGACACCATTATTATCACACTGTGAGGATCTCCCGTGTCATCAACTATTCTTAATGCTCCTACGTATTACCAATACTGTTCATGACCATAGCCTGGTAGCCAGCCTTCTCTACTGGGCATGGCGATAGTTCATCATAATCAATACGGTAACAAGTACCCAGTGCGGGTCTGGAAATTACAGGGTAGAGCCAGTGACCCAGAGAGCACCAGCCTCTTGAATCTGTGAAACACACATTAACTAAGTGTCTCCAGGAGGGCTAAGATTCTGGATTTATCTGGACGCAATGCAGGGTTACCAAGGGGCTGGTGGTTGTGAGCAGAGTCAGATTCCTTGAGTGTGAATCCAAGAAGCAGAGGTAGGAATTCTAACGATCGCACCATCCCTCAGGGCCCTCAGGGGCTGCAGGTTTTCTGAACATTGTCACAGCTTAGGTCACACTGAGCAGATCTTTCCATGTCTTTTCTTGTTACAGGATTTGTTCTGAGTGCTTCTGAGGGTAGGCGTCACAGCTCACTTATTTTTGGGTCCCCAGGACTGGACTTTGGGTCCATCAGTCATAGAAATGAAAACAACGTTGAACTTGGAGGTGGTGGGGTGGTACATACCTGTATTCCTAGCACTCAAGGGGTTGAGGCAGAAGGACAGTGAGTTTGAGGCCAGCCTGATTCACTACCCTTTTGGCAGAGGGACTTGGGGGTAGCCACTGCTTCCTGGAGGGAGGGATGGCAGATCCAGGGGTGCTGGAAAAGCACGCCCAAGGACAGGTCACTGAATGGACAGTGCCCCTTGGTCAGTGTTAAATTTGTTAGATCCATGGTCACCTCTGACTGAAATGTCCTTACAGCATGGCTGCCTTGCTGTGAAGCCAGGGCTTTAATTATTTTCTAAAAATTGAAGATTGTTTTCTTTCCCATGCCCAACAGACATTTCATCAGTCCCTCTTGCTGTTCTGTCCCAAGGGACCATTTGAAACTGGGCTGACCAGTACTCCTCTCTCGCTATATTCCAGACCAAAGCACAAACCCCTCAACTGTAAGTGAGGCACTGGAGGGCAAGGAAGGCATGCTGACACAGTTCCCACCACGGTATGCTTGGGGGTGTGGTCAAGTGGTTTCCTACCTAGTCATCACAGCGTGTGCACATACTTATGGGGACAGTGTGACATTTCAATACACAGACGATACACCATCACACCAGGGCAACCGGCACAACTAAGAGGGTGTTCTTATTCTTAGGAGGTTTATGCTGAGGGTCTGGAACCTTCTTTTAAACAGTTCAGTAAGAAAAAAAAAAAACCAAAAATGAAGAAACAAAGAGCTGCATAAGCCAGGTATGGCAGTATAGGACTGTGAGGCTGTCCCTCGGCCACACAGCAAGTTCAAGGCCAGCGTGGACCATGTGATACAAAAGGAAGACCAGGCTTGGCGGTGCACACCTTCGATCCCAGCCCTAGAGAGGCAGAAGCAGATGAATCTCTGGCTAGCCTGCTTTACGTAGTAAGTTCTAGGTCAGTCAGTGATTCATAGTGAGACCTTGTCTCAACAAACAAAATATAAAACAAGCGTCTGGAAGGCCGAGTGTAGTAGCACAAGCCTTTAATCCCAGCACCCTGTGAGTTTGAGGCCAACCTGGGCTACATAGTGAGTTCCAGGGTACCTGGAGCTACGTAGTGAGACCCTATCTTGAAAAAACCAAACAAACAAGGGTCGGGCGAGTTAGTGCTCACCGCTCTATCAGAGGATCAGGATTAGCGCCCATGTCGGGTGGTCGCAATCCCTCGAAAACCCCAAAAACCAGAGGATCAGCTGCTTTTTTCTAGTCTCCGCGAGCACCCCCACCTACACATAAGACGTGAATCTCTTAAAACAGGACAAGCATGCTTGTAAAGGCTGTGTTATACACATAGAGAGCTAGAGAGTGAGAGAAAAGGCGACGTGAACGCTCGAATCCCTTCAGTGGGGTGTTCTCTCAGCTCTATGCAGGCTGTGTGCGAGAGAGAAAAGGACACAATCTGTGTATCAAAAATTAAAAATAAAAACCGAGAAACAGAAGCACAAGGGAGCTAACCAAGCAGACCTCAGAGCACTAACCTATGGTGTGGGCTGGGAAATGTCACCTGGCAAATTCCAGGTGTGTAATAAAGCTTGGCAAGAGCAGGCGTGGACACTGGCGTCCCGGTAGCTGTGGCACGGAGCTCACACGGACAGGTATTTCCACCCTTTTGGCTGCTAAGTGCCTTCTGGTTTATCATAAGGTTACCGCACAGAACAACTGGAAATAATCAAACTGTCCAGCGATAGGGGCTAAGGAAAACATGGTGTGGCTATTAGGATAAGGCCACTGACGGCCGAGTGGGGAACTGGAGGCTCCCAGCCAGCGCTCTGGTGCCGTTCCTGCACACCTGGAGGAATGTTTTCCCAGTTTAGGAAAAGTCAGGGCAGACAAATCCCAGAAGGGACTGGCAGCTCAGCCCCAAGCCTTTTAGGAGGCCCGGAGGCCCAGGTGACCTGACTGAAGTTTTATTTTTCTGTCAAGAGGTAGAAACCAGGCTGCAGAGAATGCACAGTGCCTGGCAGCTAGAAAACGCACATGGCGGCTTTCCCTATCTGTTTTCCCTGTGCTGGGGATAGAACCCAGGGTTCATGGATGCCCCCCTCCCCCGCCACACAGCTGCTCTCCACTAAAACAGCTGTGAAACTCCAATCCCAGCACTGGGCCTGGTGCTGAATGAACACCAGAGGAACAAACGCCAGGGCAGGAGTTCAAACTGATTGAACCCGCCATGGCTCAGTAGCTTTCTTCTGAAATGACCCTGGCCAGCAGTGGTCTTTGGAGGTGGCCCTAGGGTTTTATCAAGTCACACACTTCTGGAAGAAACCTAAGTGTGTATGGGGATATAGGACCTCACTTGATTTTCCTCCAAAACTCCTCAAGAGATAAACAAGGAGAAATGCTTTCCAGTAAGAACACTTTATTGTGCACTTTAGTATATATTACACAGCAGTTAACCAAAGCAGAGCTTAAGAAAATAGACTCCCATTTCCTGTATCCCAAACTTACACTGGGCACCCTGTCCTGTGGCCGCCAGGAGTGACAGGCCGCCTCAGGGGCTCATCCCCACTCCACTGCACGCTGGTCAGGCCTTTCCGTCGCGCCTTCCCAGTGTTGGTCATGATCTGGTGGAAGTAAGAAACAGGTTTGAAACAGTGTGTCCCAGCTACCCAGAAGCTGAGTGGACGAAAGGGGAGAGGTTTCCAGGGACCTGAACTTATGTGAGCCAGGCCGAAGGACACCTGTATTCCTACCACTTAGGAGGCAGGAAGATCAGAATTCAGTTATATAGCAAGTTTGAGGCTAGCCTGGGCTACATGAAATTCTGTGTTAAAAATAAGTGGGAGTGGGGTGAGGGGGATGGTGTGAGATCAGAGCTCAGATCCCAGCACCTACATAAAAGCAGACATAGTGTCTAGCTTGAAATCCTAGCTGAGAAATACAGACCAGGACACCTGGGTACACAGGCTAGGGAGAGTAGCCAGATCCCAGAGCTCTGGGTTTGGTTAGAGAGACTGCCTCAGTTTCCTCTCTCCATAGGTGGGGCAGGAAAGGAAGACATGTGACATGTAGTGTCGACTTGTGACCTCCACATGCACACATACTATATGAACACACATATGTGCATACACACTATATGAACACACATATGTGCACACACACCACATGCCAAAAAAAGAAAAAGGAAAACCTAGAAACAATAATGAAAACCAAATAAGAGCCAGGCGGTGGTGGCGCACGCCTTTAATCCCAGCACTCGGGAGGCAGAGGCAGGTGGATCTCTGTTAGTTCGAGGCCAGCCTGGTCTACAAGAGCTAGTTCCAGGACAGGCTCCAAAGCCACAGAGAAACCCTGTCTCAAAAACCAAAAAAAAAAAAAAAAAAAAAGAAAAGAAAAGAAAACCAAATAAACAAAAGGGGCTACAGTGAGAGGGTCTGCGCTCCAGCTCTGCGGGAGCACACACGTTATGAGAGGAGAGAAGCCTTTCCAGCTCTGCATACAATCACATGTAGCAGCATAAAACTTAAAAAGACACAGGGAAAAAAAACAGGCAAGAACAGTAGTTACTGTAGGCTTTGAAGAGAACTGAATTTTTAAAGGTGAGAAGGGGAGGAAAATCAGGCAGGTTCAATTTAAAAAAAAAATATCAACATTTTAACCAGGTGTAGGGGCATAAACCTGTATAAAGCCAGCACCCGGGAGGGAGGCAGAGACAGTGTATCTCTGAAGGCTAAGGGATGGCCTGATCTACACCCTCTCTGCTATGCTAGCCACAATTTGGGCTATCCCAAGGAGCTGAGAAACATATCCAGTTTAAGGCTAGCCTGGGCTACTTAGTGAGACTGAAACAAAACCAGGAGTTAAACTACTAGATAAGGGGCCAGTGCCACAAAGACTTCTTCACGCCGAGTCTGAGGCTCCTGCTGGCTCGCTGTTTCGTGGGAGCCCACCCTTCCCAGGGCCTCCCATGGGGTCAGATAATAAATCACATATTTGTGTTTCAGATGCTTGAAAACAGGACCCAGCAATGCACCTGCCACACAGTGCAGGGACCATTCACTAGCCCGTCCTATAGGTCAGAGCTGCCCTCCTGTCTGCTGGGCCTGCACAAGGACACCCAGGGACTTCTCAGTGGCCCTGTCTGAGCTGCACCTGTTGATTAGGACGTGCTTTTCAAGCTGGATTCCAAGGAAATGCCTGGGGAGCTTCGGAGATTGGCAAAGGGTGTGGCTGTACCTCTAGACCAAAAACAGCTCCCATTTGGATTACAGATGGAGGCTCTGCCTAAAGGAAGGTTCTCCCAGGGCAAAATGTGTTTTTAACCATGATAAAAGCAATGTAGCATATGACTTACACAGTCTACCCAGGTGGTAAAGGTTGGCCAGCCCAAGCGTATGGGGGCACGCCTAGAATCCCAGCACTAGGGAGGCCAAGGCTGGGGCATCTCAAGTGCCAGGCCAGACTGGGCTGTATGGTAAGAGCCTGCCTCAAAAAATTAACAACAAAACAAAACAAAAAACTAAACAAACTGGGCAGTGGTGGTACACATCTTTAACTCTAGCACTTGGGAGGCAGAGACAGGTGGATCTTTGTGAGTTCAAGGCCAGCCTGGTCTACAAAGTGAGTTATAGGATGGCCAGAGCTGTTACACAGAGAAACCCTAACTCAAACACACACACACACACACACACACACACACACACACACACACACCAAATAAAAAAAAAAAGAGAAATTACAGAATCTGTCTGTCTGTGGTGGTTTGAAAAAAATGCCCCCATAGGCTCATAGGAGAGGCACTATTAGGAGGTGTGGCCTTGATGGAGGAAGTGTGTCACAGGGGTGGGCTTTGGGGTCTCAGATGCTCAAGCCTGGCCAATGTGTGTCAGTCTCTTTCTGCTGCCTGTGGGTCAAGACATTGAACTCTCAGCTCCCCCCCAGCACCATGTCTGATTGTATGCCGCCATACTTTCTGCCATGCTGATAATGGGCTAAACCTCTGAAAAGCAAGTCAACTCTAACAAAGTGTTTTCCTTTATAAGAGTTGCCATGATCATGGTGTTTCTTCACAGCACTAGAAACCCTAAGACTGATTATCTATCTCTATCAATCCATCTATCATCTCTCAATCTCTCTATCTCTCTATCAATCATGTATGTATGCATGTATGTATGCATGTATGTATTATGTGTTTGTCTGTCTGTCTGTCTGTCTCAGCACATATAAAAACAACCTGGAACAGCAGACTCTGTTAGCTGATTACTATTACTATTACCACTCCCTCACATATTACTGTTGACACAGTACTATGTTTAGTTAAAAAGAAATCATCTTCTCAGACTCTCTTGCAGCTCAGGGTCCCCTTCTTGACTTTACAGTTTATGACAGTAGCTGTCAGCCAGCTCATGAACAAGAGACACCCAACATGTAATTGACAACACTGAGACAGAGGCACAGAGCCAATGAGACCCAGCCTTCAAGACTCTCGGAGGGGTCCTAGTGATGTGTGCATATGGTCTTTTTTTTAGATCTGCAAAAGCAGAAACATTTGACAACAATCAGTTACTGCTGCTCCCTGTCTACTTGTCTATTTTGTCTCCTCCCCTTATGTCACTTGATGCTGGAATGACCAAGTAATTTTTCAGTTTGCCAAAGACACACTGGGCTGAACAGAGGTTGCATTTAATTAATTTGAGCTTAGTAGGAAAATTTTATGATTCACGGTCACACAAGGCCAAACACTTAGCTCTTCTAGGGTAGGGATTTACTATGTCGCCGGAGTATTCTCAAGCTTCAGTGTGCAAAGAAACATGGAATGTCTGTCTCAAGGGTGAAGGGTGGCAGAATATCATTCCAGAATAGGCCACTTTGGCAGACAGGTTATTACAAGCTAAAGACACTTGAAACAGAGCAGATACAAGAATGGTCTCTGACTTCCCTGCTATTCTCCATAGAAATAAGAGATAAAAACTTCATGTGAGAGCTGACTTTCCTGTATCAGGAGAAGACACATTCCTGGTTGGGATGTCAAGGGCTAAGAGAATTCTGTCTAAACACACCTTATAAAAATATTTCTTGTCAGCTTTTATCTCTCAGTAGAAAACATTACAAACACACCCTAATGCATATTTTAAAAATTACATTTTGTGAATATAAAATAACAACTCTGCTGTAAAGGGAATAATTTATTCTGTGCCAAATATTAATTACCATGGCTCAGGAGCACAAATCCAAGCCATCCTGAAGGGGGGATGTGAGCTTTCACACCAACAGAGAATAAAGCCATGATTCAAGGGAGAGAGAGGAAGGGAAGGAGGGAAAGGGAGGGAGGGAGAGGGAAAGAGAGAGAGAGAGAGAGAGAGACAGAGACAGAGAGAGACAGAGACAGAGACAGAGAGACTACCAAAAGGTAGGGAAGGCTAACAAGGCGTGGTAGGAAGGACTTCTCTATTGGCTTCAGACACTGTCTTTATCATGGGTGAGGTCTTTCCTATGGGAATCAGATACCATCTCTACGCATTCTTGGCTTTAGAGTTCCTTCCTGGAGACTAGAGATCTGTCTAAGCCACACACTCCAAGTTTCACTGCATAGTCAAGAGGATGTTAGCTGAGATACAGAGGTTGGTGGTAAATGGCTGTTAAGAGGAACTAAAGGTCACTAGAGGGGGACTTTGAGGTTTCAAAAGCCCACCCTAGGCCTGCTCCCCTCCTCCCTCTGTCTCCTGGTATTCAGGTCAGGATGTAAGCTCTCAGCTACTGCCCCAGCACCATGCCTGCCTGCTTGCTGCTCCCTGATCATGGACTAACCTTCTGATACCATAAGCATGCTTTCTTTTGTAAGTATCTTTGGCCAGCGTGTCTCTTTATAGCAGCAGAACTAAGACACAAAGTATGTTTGTACAGAATTCTTTTGTTTAACCAGAATATGGGCAAACACCATACTTGATGTGACCATTGCCATTCTCTTGTAAGCTTGGAAGACTAAGTCATTCTACTATTCAGCATTTGGCTTGGACTGGCTCTTTGGTGTAGAGGTGCTGTGAGCTCTGATACACAGCTCTCTGGAGCGAGGGGCAGCATCACGACTCAGCAGAGCAGGTACCTGGAGACAACTCCCTTCCAGGTCTGGGCATCTTGGCAAGATGTCCCAGTTGTACCTTGTCTTTGCCCTGCCCTAAATACCTGTGCTGGTTTTAAAAATCAGTAGTAGTTCCGGACATGCTGGAGACTCCAGGCAGGTCTCAGGGAATTCTGTGCTCTGCAGCTTTTGTATGGATCTCGATCAGGAGTTCTAGCTGCTCGGTGTCTTCTTTTGTAAATTTCATGAAGGCAACTGCGGCATCTTGACCTTCATCGCCATTCTGCTAGGTTGGGGAAGTGGTCTTCAAGACTAAGGCTATGAATCTAGTTTTCTTAGGAAGTGTTCAAAACCAAACATCTTCAGACTCAGCCTGAGACCTCTGCTGGATCCTGCCAAAGGCCAAGACTTCCAGACACAAACCCTCCAGAGAAATGCCCGTGACCTTGGTCAGTGAGATGTCCCCACAGCCTCATGGCCCCCAGCTGGCTGACGCAGGCTAGCCAGGGCAGGCCTTAAACCTGGGTTCTGCTTCTAGTCCAGCCCTCTGCTTCCTGACATGCCACAAGTTCCTGCTGCCATGGACCAAGCTGCGGCAGCTACCAGATGTTCTCCTCATGCCAAGATGGACCGTATCCCTGAACTGTGAGCCAAAAACAAACCTTCGCTCCCTTTAGCTGCTTGGTCACAGTAAAAGGCACTAGTACATGTGGCACCTGCAGTCATGAGATGTGACATCCTTTTATGCACCACGAATGCAAAGGGCAAGACAAGGGCTCGCTTCTAAGACTCCTGGCCCAGAATGCACAGGCTGCAGGCTGGCAGCTTCAGGTCATGGGTCTGGGTGAAGAAGAGCAGCTTAGGGCGATTTTATGAATGATGGAAGCACGAAGATTGTGCACGCGCCCTTGGCGACTGTGGCTCTGCCCCAAACTGAGTTGTGTGTACATTTAAATAAAGATGTCTCCGTGATGAGCTCCTGAGCTGGCCTGGGGTTAGGGGCTCAAAAGGCCTCCAAAAAAATACATGCCTGCTCTGACCCTGGTACCTGTGAACATGACTTTATTTGCAAAAAGAATCTTTGCAGATACAATTAAGGATCTCTGAAATCAAGAAGGCCATTGAAGATGAAGGCAGAGACCAGAGTGAAGTGGTCACAAGCCGAGGATCACCTGGGGCCACCATGTGCTGGAAGAATCAAGGAAGATTTCTCCTTCAGAGCTTCGGGGGTAGGCCAGCCCTGCCAATACCTGGAGTTTGGTCGACTGCCCTCCAAAACCATGACAGAAAACATTTCTGCTTTAAGTCAGTCAGTGTATGGTCCTTTGTTCCCACAGCCATGGGAAAAGGATGCCCTTGGTCTTCACCTCTATATAAGCAGTTCTTTCTGTCCTCATTCTGACTGCTCACTGCTCCACACAGTGGTAATGGACACCAATGAGATAAGCAAGAGTGTTTAGAACTTTTCTGTGGGATCCAAAACCATTCCCTCTATAGTTAAAGGGATAGGCATGTATTGAGGAGGCTGAGCGTGGACTATGGCGAAACAATACCATTTCCAAGTGCCCATCATCTGTGGTTGCTAATTGAAAGCTGCCTTTTACACTCCACCAGTATGTTCAACCAAACTGGTAGTCCAAACAAAAACTGCCTCAGGTTTTGTTTACAACTGTCATTATATCTACATAAGATCTCATTTACAGCAGTATACTAGTAGAGGGGCCAAAAAAAAAAATAACTGAGGTTGTGTTTTGGCTTATGTCTGACAAAAATCACAATTAATCCCTTTGCTGGCATTTGGGTACTGTGGAGTTGGAGGTGCAGACATAGGTGTTAAGCCCTGTCCTGCAGAGGAGCCACACACACTGGCGTCTTCTGGTTACCGGCTTCTGAAGTAAGGGTCCTGCAGAGACTCTGAAGAATCATGTCTTCTCTCAGAGAAGCCAGCATGCTCCCCAAGGGAAACAAAAGTCTAGTGATAGTCAGGACTACTGCCAGCAACTTGGAGCCCCTGGCTGGTCCCCTCCTGATCTCAGCGAGCACCACTGTATTGATCAGGCAGGAACTGAGCGAGTCTCCACAGCCAACGGGGCTCCTCTGGTCCATGATACATTCTGAGGACAACTGAGGGTACTGTCCAGCAGACCTTTTCCTAACTGGGGGGCAGTAGCTCGCCTTCCTCCAGTTTTCTTCAACCACTTCTTTCTCTTCTTTCATTCTTGCCCCCCGGTTCATTTTTCACAAAGTAGTGAGAGTGTGAGTCTAAGTTGATATGTTTTATTTACTTACTTATATTTCAGTAAAATATTTTTGAGACAGCGTCTCACGTATCCTAAGCAGGCCTCAAACTCACATGCAATTGAGGATGACTTTGAACTTCTTGCCTCCACCTCCCTTGTGCTGGGATTACAAGTATTTGGTGTTTAGAATGGAACCCAAGGCTTCATGCATGCTAGGGAGGCACTCTACCAAATGAGAACACCCCTAGACTCTGTTGAAATATAAATCAACCAAGTCCTTCCTCTACTCTCACTCCTGTCTGAATGGTGTGGAAAGTCCTTCTGTCTGTGTGTTGCTTTATTGGTTAATGAATAAAGCTGTTCTGGTCAGTGGCTTAGCAGAATAGAGCTAGATGGAAAAACTAAACTGAATGCTGGGAGAAAGAAGGCTGAGTCAAAGAGAAGCAATGTAGCCACAGCTGGAGACAGATGCCTCCAGCCCATTGGACCTTGCCGGTAGACCACAACCCTCATGGTAAAATATAAAATAATAGAAATTTAAGGATATAAGAGCTAGCCAAGAAGAAGCTAGAGCTAATAGGCCAAGCAGTGATTTAATTAATACAGTTTCTGTGTGGTTATTTTGAGTCTGGGTGGCTGTGAATGAATGAGTGGCCTTTGACTACTTCTTAGTTAGGGTTTCTATCGCTATGAAGAGATACCATAACCACGGCAACTCTTATAAAGGAAAACATTTAACTGTGGTGGCTCGCTTACAGTTTTAATTCAGTCCACTATCAACATGGTGGGAAGCATGGCAGTATGCAGGTAGACATAGTGCTAGAGAAGAAGCTGAGAGTCCTATATCTTGCAGGCAACAGGAAGTTGACTGAGACACTGGGTGGTATCATGAGCATAGGAAACATTCCTCCAATATGTCAATACCCCCCTCCAACAAAGCCACACCTCCTAATAGTGCCACTCCCTATGGGCGCATGGGGACCATGGAAACGAAAAGACTCAGCTGGGATGACCATCACTGTGGGTGACACTGCAGACACGGTGAAGACTCCTAGCAGGTCCTTTCATTCCTACTTCTCCCCATCGCCATACACCAGCAGGTCTATCTCTGACAGATCTCCAGGACACTTCAGGTCCACTGAGAGCAACTGGTTAACATGGACCTTTTCATAACCCAGGCCCCACTGAACCCTGTGTTACTGAAGGCCTTAAATTATGCCTGTCCTTCTGCCCCTCCTGTTCCAGGACACCTCTGGCATGTGCACTTACGCCCAGGTACTCTGTGGTTAGAAGCTTCTCGCCTGAGAGTTCTCCAAGCTGGGGCTGGATTAGTTCATCTTTGTCTAAGTCAGCTTCCATGATGTCATGATCCTCCTGTTTCAAAGGAGACAGTGGTGAGAGTTCTGGACAGTCACCCAGCCACAGCACCCCCAGAGTGTGCAGACAGCTGCTGGGAAATGGGGATGTAGAAGCTATGTGTCCCTTGCTCACCATCCCTCCATAAAGATGAGTGGCAGAGCTGACAACCCCTGAGGAAGCTGGGCTCCCAGGAAGTACTTCCATGGCTGTGGACATGAAGAGGTCTAAAGGGCCCCTTGGCAGGCCTCACAGCAGGGATAGGTCTGTCTCTGAGAGGTCAATGGATCAAATGAAAGGCCAAACATAGAGCAGATCACAGACAACTGGGAAACATTCCCACACACATGCCTTACAGGTGGTACATAACAAGCTTGTTCTCTAGTGTCCACAGGTCATATGAAGACTCTGCACTTTGGTCTCAATCTCTAAAATACGACAGTGGGCCTGGAGAGATTGCCCAATGGTCAAGTGCTTGCTGTGTAAGGAGGAGCTGTGTTCAAACCTCAGCACCTACATACCAAGTTTGGTATAGTTCTGCATATGCTATAACCCAGTGCTGTAGGAAGGAAGAGGACAGAGACAGAGAATCGCTAGGGCTTGCTGGCTACTTAGTGCCTAGACAAAGTAAGGAGAACTCCAGGCTTAGGGAGAGACTCTGCCTCAAAAGAATGAAGATAGAGTGAAAAAGGACATCCACTGCCTTCCTTTGGCCTCTGTACATGCACATGGGCATACGTGCTCACACATGTGTGCTCCAACAGACACACATGCACACACATGCACACACACAGAGCGAGATAACAAAACACACATTACTGTTTGGAAAATGTTGCAGTAAAATGCATACACACCATTGTGGCTCTGAAGTCTACCACCTACATGAGTCAGCCAGTGGCAAAGGAGATTTCCCTGCCAAATACAAGAGAAGCTGTCACTGGAGTGTGGGAAGATGAGACGTCAATAGGACTGGCCAAAAAATGCATGGCTGATTCAGGCTTGGATTTGGTGAAGGAACTCCTAACTTCAGGGAGTAGTCAATGCAGCATCCAGTTGACAATGAAAATTTCAATGATTAGACACTCAGCAGACAGACAACAACTCAGCAAACAGAGAAGGCGGCTTTGCTTCTGGGAAAAGGTGGTGGACATACCTCCCCTTGTCCTGTTATCAAACCCTAAAACCCTGGATGCTACATGTACACTAAACACACAAGACCCTGGGAGGTGGCGAGATAGCAGACTAGCTAGGAGTGACAGGAGAGCCCCACATCTGTCAGACTTGGTGCCTAAGAAGCCAGCAACCAGAATGCCAATGGGGAAGACAAGTTCCTCTGAAGCTGCTCCCTCTAGCCAGGGGACAGTAAAGGGGAACACTAAGAGTTTAGACATGCTTTAGAAAATAACTACCTTAATAAAACATTGTGACCAATGTCTAACCTTGCCAGCAAAGGCCTCTGATTCCTGGGCTTATGCTCTCCAAGACTGATGAAGCATCTACATCTCCAGGTGGTGAACCATAGAAAGCCAAGCAGAGAGGCATTTCATCTGTGTTGGGCAGTGCAGAGTCCCCCACTGCCCAGTAAGTAGATACCAGATGGAACAAAGGCTGCCACTCCCATGTGATAGCAAATTGGTGTCTCCCTGCTGGCATAGTATTGAGGCCAATGGCAAATAATAGTGAGGCAATCCTATCCTTTCTTGTCAAGGGTATTAGTGGAAGCCTAGGAGAGAATCTGGACCATCTACCTATGGCTGCAGAAATAATGGGGGCCATCCATCTGGAACTCAGTGAAGCAAAAAGATTGGACACCTTTGCTGCAAGGCTCAAGGTTCGGTGTTGATCTGTCCTCAAGTGGTACTGAAGTGACTTGCTTTACGTCTGGTCCCTGTAAATCAAACAGGGTGAGGATGGAGCAGCAGGGCCTTGCGACAAGATACCTCAGAGATACATAAGCCCCACAGAGGCGTTTCTGCCAGCCTGTCCCCGTCCCGGGCCACTGATCACGGAGTCATCTTCCATTCCGGCAGTGCTTGTTTACTTCAGCCAAACCATCAGGAAGGAGAAAGGGGACAGTGCGGCTCACCCTGGGCAGACCGAGTTTCTGGCAAGTTTTGATCAATAGCACCTGTGAGCCTTGGACTTCCTAGTCAAGTTTGCTTGGGTGTTTGTGTTTCGTGATGACTTTAAAATAAATGCCCAGCAGGAAGACAGGTGGTTCCTTCATGAGTTCAAGGCCATTCTGGGCTAAAAGTGAGACCCCTTCACACAACAACAGCAACAACACAGACAAAAAAAATTCAGTCACGATTTAACTCTTCGTCAGATGCGGGGCACATATCTTACGTGCCAGCAAATGAGAGGGCTGAGGAAGCACAACAGGCTAAGACAGTCTAAAAGGAGGCTAGCAGAGGGGGAGGACCCCAATTGTCAGAGTTACTATGGAGCCAGAGTAGTCCAGATTGTGTGTTTCTGGCAGAGCAATAGGCAGATTTAACAAAAACTGAAGAGGACTCAGAAACAGACCTATACATATGTTCCGAACTGGCCTCTGCCTCTCTCTCTCTCTCTCTCTCTCTCTCTCTCTCTCTCTCTCTCTCTC